CGCCGGGCCCTCACCGTGGATGCCGGGTTCTCCGTCGGCCGCCGCGGCCCCGGAGAGGAGCAGCGCTCCCAGTAGGGCAAGCAGAGCCCAGCACTGCCTCGGCCCACACAGCTGCGCCATGACCGGCTCCACCGGACGCCCAGGCCCTCGAGCAGTCGGCCGTTGGGGTCTCGCGATCGGCTGCGGGAAGCCCCTTGCTGCGCACGCGCACTGGAGGGCTTCGTGTTCAGGTGCGGCCGTTCTCCGGGAGGAGCCGCGAGGTGCCGAAGTCTCTGGAAGTCCTTTCCTCCGACCTTTGGTGTGCGGACGCTCTGCCTTCTACGCGCTTGATGCTTCAGTCCGCTCCTCACTCACGCCTTTGTCCCCAGCGACACTCAGCGACTCTTCCCCCAGCTGAGAACCCCGCCACACCTCTAAGCGTTCAGGGGGGCGCCAGAGACAATGGCGGACGCCTGGCAGCAGCTGCGGAAGGTAGCTTCTTTTTTTGGCGGCTGGCTGTTCTTCAGTTTTGAAACAAGCAATTAACAATTGAAAATAAACAAATTTCCATTTTAAAGATATTACTCAAATTCTGTAAGATATGTATGAACAAAAATTTCCACCTACCAAGTAAAACTGTTATGCCTCACAGCTCACGCCCTGTTTAAATTTTATTATTATTATTATTTTTTGGCAGCTGGCGGGTATGGGGATCTGAACCCCTTACAACCTTGGTATTGTAAGGCTGCAGGTGTTCTAACCAACTGAGCAACTGGCCAGCCCTATTTTAAATTTTAAACACAGAACCACCAAAGGAATATGTAGAATGACAGAATAGTTTCATCTTTATGATCATCGTGTTGTCATTTTTATTTCTCATCTACTATTTAGTTTATTTATTTATTTATTTAATTTTTGGTGGCTGGCCAGTACAGGGATCGCACACTGGGCCTTGGCATCATCAGCGCCATGTTCTAAGCAACTGAGTAGCCGGCCAGCCCAAAATGAACTAATTTGAAGCTTACATATGTATTAATAAAACTTGGGCTGACTGGTTAACTCAGTTAGTTAGAATGCAGCGTTATAACTCCAAGGTCATTTCCGATCCCCATACTGGTCAGCTGCCACCAAGAAAAAAGAAAACTCAACAGTGATTGCATCCATTGTTTTTTAGAAAGCAGACTAGCAAGATTTTTTCCCTGGAAGAGGATTATTTTATCACTGACACTGTTTAGAATTAGCAGTGTGAAGTGTAATAAAAACTAGACCAACCTTTGGTCAGTTCTATTTTCAGAATATTGTTTTTGGGTTTTTTTGGAGCAGGGGTGGGGGTTGTAGGGGGGCGCATCTGGCCAGTGTGGAGATCCGAGATCTGGACCCTTGACCTCGATGTCATAACACCACCTCTAACCAACTGAGCTAACTGGCCAGCCCAGTTTTATTTTTATTTTTAAATTCTCTACAGACACGAACCCCTTTTGCCTGTACCCAGGGTAGACCACTCCTATCACCCTGCCTTTCGTACACCACTGGTTGGGAAACAGACAATAAATAGAATGAAAAATTATACACAATGTTAGAAAGTGGTAAGTGTTATGGATAAAAAAAAAAAAAAAAGCCAGGTAAGGGACATAAGAATTGCAGTGTAAAACAGGGTGGCCAGGGAAGACCTCATTGAACATGTGACATTTGTGAGAGCTGAAGGAGTAAGTCCTACTGTTATAGTTCTAGGGAAGAGCTTTCCTGGCAGAAGGAGCTGCAAGTGCAAAGGTGCTGAGATGGGACCACACCTGGAAGAGCTTTGATTGCTAAACTAAGGAGCTTGACCTTCAGCCACAGAGTCATGGTGAACTATGGACAGTGTTTCTTTTTTTTTTTTTTAACAGCTTTATTGAGATATAACTCACATTTTATAAATTTGCCCTCCCTTATTTTTTTTTAAATAAAAAGTGACTGGTAAGGGGATCTTAATCCTTGGTTTGGTGTTGTCAGCACCACACTCTCCCAAGTGAGCCAACCAGCCATCCCTATATGGGATCCGTTTTTTTTTTAAATAAAAAGTGACTGGTAAGGGGATCTTAATCCTTGGTTTGGTGTTGTCAGCACCACACTCTCCCAAGTGAGCCATGGGCTGGCCCCACAATTCACCCTTTTAATGTATACAATTCAATGGTTTTTAATATATTCAATATATTCCAAGAGTTATACAACTCTCACCACAATCAACTTTAGAAAATTTTATCATCCCCAAAAGAAACCACATACTACTATTAAATAAAAATTATAGGAGGCCATTGTTTTGGACTAAATTCCTGCACTATGCCCCGAGTCAAAATAGAGTCGCCCCTGCTAAATTCCACCTTACCAAATCTAAACCTTCGGAGAAATCAGGAGAGAGAACGCAATTATCTAAACAAGCCAGCTTAGATCTTCAATAGGCATGATAAGGAAGTTCTCTCTGCTTTAATCCTTACACAGAAAGATAGCCTAAAGTAACCCTACGTTAACTAATCGGCTAGGTTTCTATTGTCCTGTCTCCTGTCCCCATCTTCCAAGGAAAATAACTTTGAAATGGCCAGTCCACTTTTTGTTATTTGTTTCTGCTTTCTTCTGCCGTTTCTGTCTATAAAACCAACCTCCTCCACTCCGCCCATTGGAACACTTCATTATGGAACAAAGTGTTTGCGTGATTCTAGAATCCCTAGAAAGCCAATAGAGATCTTTAAATTTGATGTAATTTTGTCCTTCGCCACTCCACAGCAGTCACTCCTCACCCCCTATCCCCAACCCCCAATTCTTCTAGCTCCAGGCAGCCCCCAATATATTTTCTGTCTATGGATTTGCCTATTCTGGACATTTCTTATAAATGAATCATACAATATGTGGCCTTTTGTGTCTGGCTTCTTCCACTTCGTGTGTTTTCAAGGTTCACCCATGTTGTCGCAGGTGTAAGTACCTAATTCCTTTTTATTGCTGAATAATATTCTCTTGTATGGATATACCACATTTTATTTATCCAACAGTTGATGGACTGGTTTATTTCCACCTTTTAACCATTATGAATAATGCTGCTATAAACATTTATGTACATATTTTTGTGTGAATATATGTTTTCAATTCTCTGGTGTACACCTAGCAGTAGAATTGCTGGGTCATATGGTAACTCTAAATTTAACTTTTGAAGAATGCCAGACTTTTCCAAAGCGGCTACCATTTTATATTCCCACTATCAATGTATGAGGGTTCTAATTTCTCCACATCCTTACTAACCCTTGTTATCTTCTGTTTTTAAAAAAAACTTAGGGCCGGCCCGGTGGCGCACTGCTACAGTGTGCCGCTTGGGAGTGCGGCGGCGCTCCCGCCCGAGGGTTCGGATCCCACATACAGACCAGTTCCCGCTCACTGGCTGAGCAAGGCGCGGGGGCAACACCGAGGGTTGCGATCCTGTTGCCGGTCCCGGTCCGGTCCGGGCGCGACACTGAGGGTTGCGATCTGTTGCCGGACACGAAAAAAGACAAAAAGGAAAAAAAAAAAAAAAAAAAAACTTAGCCATCCTACTGGGTGTGAAGTAGTATCTCATTGTAGTTTTGATATGCATTTCTTTGATGGCTAATAATATTGAGCATCTTTTCATGTGCTCTTTTTTGGAGAAATATCTATTCAGATTCTTTCCTTTTTTTTTTTTAAGATGACCGGTAAGGGGATCTTAACCCTTGTCTTGGTGTCAGCACCGCACTCTCCCAAGTGAGCCACGGGCTGGGCTGGCTCCTCTTTGCCTATTTTGTTTTTTTCCTTTTTGTCTTTTTTACTGACCGGTAACAGGATCACAACCCTCGGTGTCGCGCCTGCACCGCGCTCAGCCAGTGAGCGGGAACCGGTCTCCACATGGGATCCGAACCCTCGGCGGGAGCACTGCCACGCTCCCAAGCGGCGCACTCTCCAGTGCGCCACCGGGCCGGCCCATCTCTTTGCCTATTTTGAATTGGGGTAAAGATAAATGATTTTTTATTGAGTTGTAGGACTTATTTATTTTAGATGCCAGTACCTTATGAGATATATGATTTGCAATTTTTTTCTCCCGTTCTGTGAGTCGTCTCTTCCCCTTTTTTTTTTTCCTTTTTTTTTGTCTTTTTTCATGACCGGTAAGGGGATCGCAACCCTCGGTGTCGCGCCCACACCGCGCTCAACCAGTGAGCGGACGATCTCTATATGGGATCCGAACCCTTGACGGGAGCGCCGCCCTCTACCGAGTGTGCCACCAGGCCGGCCTGTCTCTTCCCTTTTTTTGATGATGTCCTTTGAAACACAAAATTTTTAAATTTTTTTTTTTTTTTTTTTTTTTTTTTTTTTTCCCGCGCCTCGCTCAGCCAGCAAGCGGGAACCGGTCTGTATGTGGGATCTGAACCCTCGGGCGGGAGTGCCGCCGCACTTCCCAAGCGGCGCACTATCCAGTGCGCCACCGGGCCGGCCCCAAAATTTTTAAATTTTGATGGTATCCAATTGATCTGTTTTTTCTCTTATTGCTTGTGCTTTTGGTGTCATATTTAAGAAACCATTGCCTAATTATAGACAGTTTAAAGCAGGGGAGGGACACGGCCAAATTTAAGTTATAAAGTATTATTCCCTTGCCACTTATAATTAGAAATGGGAAGCCTGTTTTGAAGTAAGGGACTTCCCCGTCACCCTCGATGAAACTGCAACCCCACCCTCGCTCCATTTCTCCTTTTTTGCTTTACATTTCTTTGGAGAAATATAAATATATTTCTGCTTTATATTTATATTACAATAACTGTATAATGTACTGTACTTATGTTTACTGTCTCCATCACAAGAGTATCAACTCCAAGAGGACTGGAGTTGTTTTGTTCCCTACTCTATCCCTAGTGGTGCCTAGAACAGTGGCTGGTATAAAGTAAGCACTCAATAAATACTTATAGCCTAGTGTGAGGGAATAAATGAATGGATGGAGGGATGAGCTGATGAACGGAGGGATGAGCTAATGAATGAGCGAACAAATGACGGCTCAGAGTACTGTGGCTTGACCTTCCCTCGCCGCGAAGGCGGCGCGGGGGCTCCTGCACCGTCCACCGCGGCCGCCAGAGGGCGCAGAGGGGCCTGGTCCTCGAGAGTCTGTCCCGGGACCCCGCCCCCTGGGATCCAGGCCGGGGAAGCCCCAGACTCCGGGACCCGGCCTAGGGCTCTCGGACCCCGCCCATACCTGAACCCGGCACAACTGCTGGCTTCAAGCCTGCACAGCGGCCCGTCCAGACACTGCAGACGGAGAAACTGAGGCCCGGGGCGTCCGGGGCGGGGCCGGCCCCCCAGCGG